TTGTGTTGACCAATTAGCACCCAGGGCCAGTACTATCTATTTAATACAGTAAATTATTCATGTTTTCGTAAAGGAAAGAAACATAGGGGCATGTTTGTAGTGCTTTGGTGACAGACTTTTCCATTCTTTATTAGTCTCTCAGGGCTACCATTATGGAATCCCTCTCAAAACATCAGTTGTTAGTCAGACCCAAATTAATTATTGGCTCTTTGTTGACTACTCTAATCCTGACATCTGAGGAGGATCAAGAGTTGAAATTAATTTTAAGATAACAAAAGAGTGATTACACCAAATTTGAATTGTATCTATGGAGATCAGCAAAAATAGTTTTGTGAATTTTAAGTGTTTTTTGTGCTAAAATTAAGAGGCAAACATGAAAAACTTTATGGTAAAAGTCTCTAGAGGTATGTGGCGTGACAGGCACGTACGGGAGTCACAGAGTGTTCAGTGGCCCAATCAAAACACCTCCTGATGATAAAAGGGGACCAGACATAATTCAGGACTCAGGCGCTGACAGCTGCATAATCACATAACTAATAACAAAATGTTTTATCTGATGTAACGTGTGTAACTGATAAGGTAAGAAAAATTATATCTGAATAAGAAAATGAAAACTCAGGCAGATAATTAGCCATTTGTGCTTTTATTAAGCTTATATTTGTCCCCAGCAGCTGTTGTAAGAATCATTAGGATGTGGACGTTTTCCATGAAGTGGGAAAGTCGGTGTGAAGACAGTGGTAGTTGTACTCTGGTGGAGTTGGGTATCAGTTACTGTCAGGAAGTCAGTAGGAGATGGCAGGGGAGGCAGTCAAGTGAAAGAACAATAGATTTTCTGAATAAAACTCTTTTGTGCCTCAAACAAAAGACAAGAGCCACTCATCACAGGCATGTGACGCCTCAAATGTGTTTAATCACTGTTGTGTTTCTCACTGCTGGACAGATGTGAAACACAGCAGTGGTGGCCTAAATTTGTTCTCACAGGCTTACGGTTTCTTCTGAACACAAAAGCTGGAGGAAACATAGCACTTGACCCTTCAAGTTGGTCTAAAATCTTCTCCAAATTAAATATTTATTGTGAATGTAAAGCAAAGCTTTGAAACTATCATAACTCTTTATAGTATTAATGAACTTGATAATAGTTAACTTGATTATAGCCCCTATTACAGATATGCCATGGACACAGTGAAGAAACGTCCCAAAAATTAGCATTAGAGGCACAAATCCCATGTTTTTGCTTGAGAACTATTATATAAACTATATACGCTATTAATGTTTTTTTTATTGCTAGTTTAAGTGTTACCAAGTGCTTGCTTCGATCAGATATCTTTTTAACCTTGATATTTATGTATTTATTTTTTATTTTTTTACTTAACTTGACCCTACTGTTTGGACCACAAAGCGAGTGTGCATCCCAGTCGGAAGCTGACTTGAAATCCTCTTTGTGTCTTGATATGTGGCAAGTCATGTGTTTCTGCCAAGCATCTGTTGCTAGGAGTAAATACAAAAGACAGTAATACACACTTTTTGTGCCAGTAAACTAGTGAAGTGTAAATCTGCTTGCGTAAAAACCAAAAGCCTCTGATGTGTACAATTGTAATGTTAAATATTTTATAAATATTCATAAACATGTTGCATGCAATTATTCGTAAGTCCAAAAACGAATGAACAACGTGCTGCTCTTCACTCTGAAACATGCAGGACAACTGACTATGTACCTAATAAAAACACAGCCCTTGATTTCATAATCATGATTTGATAACATATATTGCCATTTCAGTTTTATTTCAATTAATTGTGCAACCTCATTTGTTTATTATAATGTTCCATTCCATTTCGTTTATTAGCTTTTCATCAACTCACAAAACCCCAGTTGGAAAACCCTGCACTATCAAATCTACTGCTGTTGGTTGTACTTTATGCCTTCATGTAGGCTTCTTCATTTCCAATTTAACTTTGTAAAATTCCTGAAAAGCACAGTCACCATCAGCAAAAGATTAAGAGAGCATCACTTCTGATGTAAATATTGTGCATTCAGAAAGATTCTCTTTGAACTGCCAAGCCTACCGATTAATTTATGTCTGCAAGCATACAGGTCTTGTAATGTTCCAAAGGCCATTCATTCTACTACAGACAGACGTGGGAAGCTTGTACTGCCTCAACACCACAATTCGCAAACCCATGAGCATTGAGAATTATTGTTTTTCTGGTCTGTGCATGGCGCAAGAATGTCATTGAATACTTGCTCTCAGATGCAGTAAGAGGAATGTGTTTGGGATACTGCTCTTTGCATGTGGGATGTTGCACAGTGTTGCTAGTGAGACTGGGACTCTCCAGCATGAAGTGGAAGCTCAGCTAAGTCCCTTTTTGGACACTGAGTATACTCCCCCCTCGCTTTTCCCATAAGCCCCTGGTGCATGGACAAAGTCCCCTTTGTGTGGGTCGTAGCTCTTGGCTAGAGAGCCCACAGCTTTGAAACTTGTTTGAACGATGCGATTTTCATTTCTATCTGTCCTTTGCACTCTCTCCCATACTAAACTCACCCATGCTTCTTTCTCTCCCTCGCTTGTTTCTTCTGTCCTGGGCCTGCTTAGCAACAGTATGAAGCGAGTGCCCACTGAGGCTTAGTTCTTGGTATCCTCAGCAGAGTTGTCTGTATGCATCGCAGGGTCACTGTGTGTGTGGACTTTGTAGAAGAGAGTTGGGACAATGAACTGGTCCAAATTAGTTAAAACAGAACTGCCTAGTCACTTCCTGGTCATTCCTGGCCTGATCATTTAAAAAAAATAATCTACGAATGTATACTTTGAACTTTAAGGTTTCATTTTTTAACTATTATTTAAATGGACATCATGTATGGTATCGGCAAGTACCAAAAATAAAAGTATCGGTATCGGGCGAGTACTGGAAAAAGTGGTATCGGTGCATCCCTACTTCCGTCTTGATATATCAGTATATGTACACTACCATTCAAAAGTTTATTAAGTCAGTAAGAAATCTCTTATGCTCACCAAGGCTGCATTAAATTGATCAGAAATAAAAATTACAGTAAAAACAGTGTTCAAAAAACAGTTATTATTATTATCAATGTTGAAGAAAAATACCATGAAAGTCAATGGGGACCAGCAACTGTTTGGTTGAGGATTCACCTTATTGGGTGAATAATGGATGACAGAATTTTCATTTTTGGGTAAACTATCCATTTAAAGCATCCTTTTTATTATATATATTAATTTCTTTAAAAAAAATCTTACTTTTGAACGGAAACGCATTACATTAACATGAATTAATGAATACAAGGATTAGCACTATATCATTTATTGTAAAATAAAAGTGTATTAAATTCTTTCTTTTTAAAGTGTTTTTTTTTTTTTAAGAATTCTTCTCCAAAGTTAACAGGAACTCATGGCAGACTATCAAGGCAAGACTATCCAGATTTTTATAGCCTCAGTTTAAATGTTTTGAATTGTAAACGTGTAATGGTGTGCAATATGGTCTTGTAATTGGTATTATGTAAATTTTGGAATTACTGATTTTTTTACAGCTAGTATAGTTTAGGTTATCACTTTTCCGGTGCTGATAAGATCTTTGACCTGCCTTTTACCATATCAGTAGTAAAAGTTGAGGAAAACACTGGCTTTGGAAAGCTAGTGTAATGTGCAGCGCTTTACAATCAGATTCTGTAGTGTAATTATCTTTTCAATGAAACACAAGTGCTTTGTGGATAGTAATTCTGTCTGGAGGTTTTGTCAGAAATCAGATTTGTTCAGTGCAGAGCTGTACAATCTAAATACTTATTTACTCCAACAGCATTGTATCCATGATGTTAATGTTGATGTTATCAACATTAGAAGATGTCAACTAAAGTCAGTGACATCAGCAATGGAAGTTGAATCAGAGGACAACCTGTCTATTTTTACATTACAATATATGAAATGCCTATGCAACAGCGTATTCACATATGTCACTTATACCAGTTATTGCTGAACATTTACTGAACAGTGAAACGTAGTGAAGAATAATCACCATGACCTTTCACCTTAAACAATTCTTTTTTGAAAAATTTAAAAATGTCCCAATCTGTTCAATTTTGGTTGATTAAATTATGCAAATTATATAAACTAACTAATGACTGAATCAACTTGAATACATTGAGATACATCAATCAAAGTACATTTTATAGTTTAGGTCAGGTAGAAATAACTCATTTCATATAAGATAACACTTTCATTTTTACACTGGGTTTCACTGTCAGATTTAGCCAGTTTTGATGATGAGCCTTTAATGCGGGACTCAAGTTAGTAAGATGAGTGAAGAGTTATTTAGATTAAATTTTACTGTTTACTTTTTTCCACAAGAACGAATAAATATTCAAATTGGAAAACAAGCGAGAAGGAAAGCGAGGCCCTCTTTTGAAGAATGAACAGTTTGTGAAACATTTCCTAATTGTTAATGAGGGGCTCAGGGCAGGGTGCCAAATTCAGAGGGCCAATGGCGAGGGGGTACAGCCGGAGCAGCCGATGGGCGGACTGTTGCTCTGGGTTGACAAGTGGGGACCCTCTTTTTAACTCCCTAGGTGTCACTGTGTTAGAGTGGGGTTTACAGGATAGCAGACGACACGGAGAGCTCTAATGACGGTCTGAGTGCTGCGTGGGGTCTCGTGTCTTTGACCTCCCTCCCTCTCTCAGCCATCCTTATCAGCTTTGATCGTGTTCTGGGGAACAAAAGTGTTTTTTAACAGGGTTTTAGGATGAATGCAACAGATAGCAACCCGGAGAACACGTCTGAGAACAATAATGTGGAGAAGAGTGAGGCTGGAGAGGAGGAGATGATGGAGTCTGATTCCCATCAAGATGTGGACCCAGATTCAGACCTGTCTGCGGTCAAGATTCCTCCTCCACCAGAGCTGGAGATCAGGCCTAATGGCATAAGTGATGATTACAAGCCGGAAATATGCAGGACTGTACCTTCGCCTCTGACTCGCAGTATTTTTCCTGTTGCAGTCTCACCTGCTGCTGAGCGCATCCGATTCATCCTGGGAGAGGACGATGACAGTCCTGCGCCCCCTCAGCTCTTCACAGAGCTGGATGAGCTACTGTCTGTTGATGGCCAGGAGATGGAGTGGAAGGAAACTGCCAGGTACAGTAAGAATGCCATGGCTTGGCTGGGTCTCTAGTGAGGCTCAAAAAGAGACCTGACAGTCTTGTTTTAAATTTGCAGGGTCAGAAAGTTTTTTTTTTTTAAGTAATTTTATTCAGCAAGGATACATTAAATTGATAAAAAATGACAGTAAAGATATTTATAATGTTACAAAAGTTTTCTATTTTAAATAAATGCTGTTCTTTTCAACTTAATATTTATCAAATAAAAAAATGCAAAATAAAGAAAGAAAGAAAATAGCAAAAAAAATTCCACAAAAATATTAAACATCAGTTGTTTTAAACACCAAATCAGAATATTAAAATTATTTATGAAGGATCATGTGACACCAAAGAGTGGAGTAATGGCTGCTAAAAATTCAACTTAGATTTGCCATCACAGGAATAAATTACATTTTAAAAGATATTAAAATAGAAAACCATTATATTAAAGTATAATGAAATTTAGCAATATTACTGTTTTACTTCATGTTTGGTAAAATAAATTCAGCATTGGAGAGCAAGAGACTTCTTTCAAAAGCATTTAACAATTGTACCAACTCCAAACTTTTGAATGGTAGTGTATTTTCAGAGAAAAAGAGAAAAACAGGACACTTATGTTCTGTTTTCTATAAAGACTTTTTTAATTACTCTTTCAGACTTGTTATACAGGCACCATACAATTCATCTAAAGAAGATTCAAGTGTACTGGCTCATTGCCAATGACTGCTTGGTGCCAGTATACGAAGACATTTTAAACACTTGACAGTGTTGATTCCGACCTGATTAATCTTTAGGGAAAGGTGTGAAGAAAATAAAAAATGTGTGTGTGTGTGTGTGTGTGTGTGTGTGTGTGTATATATATATATATGTGTCCAGTTGGCTTAATATCCATTAACAGCACATCCGATCGTTTAACAAAAACTGCTGCTTTAAATCCCTGTGATCGTGAGTTCATTTGTGCTGACAGCTTGGTCTCTGATGAAAGTCGAGTCTTGCATGCAACACACATTAATTATGGAGCTGTGCTGCTCTTGAAAGGATTCGATCATTCAATGAGAGGGGCAGTTTCATGTAAAGTTGAGTGGCACTCCAGGTGGTCCCCTATCAACAAGCATTATCACATGCCACAGCGGGCATTTAACAGATTACTACGAATAAATACCAGAATGATTACTGTTGATCTTTTTATTTCAGTCAAGATTTTATTTGAGAGATTGTTTTAGAGATGAGATTACAGACTGTTTATGTATTTTTGGATTAAGGATTACATATTTAAGCCTTTCAAGCAGGGTCATTCATTTTAATAAAGTTATACAAGGGGGAAGATTAGAGTAGAACATGAGTACTGTTTGATTTCTGGGACTGGTATTTGTCTCTGATACTGTAGATTTAAGAATATATATAGTGGATTTACAAAGATACACTACCGTTCAAAGGTTTGGGGTCAGTAAGATTTTTCCTTGAAAAAATGAATACTATTATTCAGCAAAGACACATGAAATTGATCAAAAGTGACAGTAAAATACATTTTCATTGTTACAAAAAAAAAAAAATATTTCAAATCAATGTTGTTCTTTTGAATTTTTTATCCTAAAAAATAATTCTGAAAAACTGTATCTCAGTTTCTACAAAAATATTAAGAAGCACAACCATTTTCAGCTGTGATAATAAGAAATGTTTCTTGAGCACCAAATCATTTTTAAATCAATGTTCAATTGACTTGCAGTTGCACTTTCATATAGAACTGTTCACATGAGACTTGATTTCAACTTCAGTACCTTAAACTCTCTGTGGTTTCTTCTTCGAAGGTGGATCAAGTTCGAAGAGAAGGTGGAAAAAGGTGGGGAGCGGTGGAGTAAACCGCATGTGGCCACTCTGTCCTTACATAGTCTCTTTGAGCTTAGGACGTGTATAGAGAAGGGCACCATCATGCTGGACCTAGAGGCAAACTCTCTGTCAGGGGTCGTTGGTAAGTGTTTCTTCTGTAGCCATTTTGGGCTTTAATGCAGGGTACTTTCTGTCTTATTAAACGATGCTCTACTACCTTTAGCAGGGGATCTATGAACTCAGTGGCCCACGTTTACACTGGCTTGAGAGACAAACGATGAGATAACTGTTCTGTAAAATAAACAGCATGTTGCAGTCTTTGTTATTCAGTCTTTAACAATTATTTTATTTAACGTTTCCTTAAAGGGATGCATTTGTAATTTTTTTAAATATTGGGTACAGAAACAAAATAATAATAATAATAATAATATGAATCATGTTAGATGGCTTCATTTAGCAAACAGATACTTCCTTCCGTTATTTCCACATTTAACTTACCTGTTAAGTTGTATTGTAAAAGCTTTTGTTACTTTCACTGTTCATTTTAATGGCGCATTAGAGAAGCTCAATATTGTAATCACAAAACGTTTTCCTAAAATAATGCAGGGAACCACTCATTATACATTATACGAGTACGCGCATACTATTTTGGCGATGTAATTTGTGTCATGCGCGTTGTACTCGGACCCTCGCATACGAGTAAAAAATGAAATATACTTTGGCCTTTAAAGCAAGCTAAACACGTTTGTATTGGTGCAGAATGAGAGAGACACATATCTTTTCTATAGCGCATTTCACACAGTCTGCTAGTTTCACTTTTGCTATAAAGTCGTGTATTCTTGACGTTTAAAATAAATGTTATTTATAGTGAATGCCCCTATAATTTTTGTTTGCTTTATATTTACGATTTAGTTTTAATCCAAATGCATGCGCTAATGGAACGAACAGCAATCAAGATCATGCAACAGAAGTGCTCGCTCTCTGACTCTCTCTCTTGCTCTCATTACCGCCAAATAACTTTAGTAATTTGTGCATTGTTTTACTTACTTGCTTTTGACATATCCGACTGAACTACAAACTTGCCAGTGATGTCTGTGAGATATTCACTCGACAAGCTCGCGCATCTGTGCCGCCACGCACTCAATTCCACTCAGCGCGCTCTGCTTATCAACTCGTGCACATCCGCTATACAGGCGTGAATATTGAATGTTTAACATTATATTAATTAGTTACTTACATGTACTTCATAGACATCCTTAATCTCTAATAACTCCATTCTACTTTCTGTTGTCTGTGATTCTTTTTCTGGACACAGCTCTATTCACACGTTGTGTGGTATGGGCTTTTGGTATCGGGCATTTTTACGAGTACGAGTACAGGAGTGCAGTATCGGGGCCGATACCGATACCAGTATCGTTATCGGTGCATCCCTACAAATCATACATAATATAAAGGGGCTGGAAGTACGAGTTACATATTTTAACATCTAAAGCAGAGATGCCAAAACTAGGTGGGCCAAAGTTGGCCTGTGGTGACCTTTGATTTGGCCCATAATGCCATATCACAAGAGGGGACAAAATAGGGGGGGGGGAAAGAACATGACATTAAAGCATATGTTCAATTCTAGTTTATATTTTTGTTTTAATATTTATTTTAGTTTTGAATTGAGATGTAAAAAACAATGTAAGTGCATTTGTTAAAAAATAATTAATGTCCAACATGACATTGATATAATATTTGTGAGTATTATTTTTATTAGATGGATAATGACAAAGTGGTGCTGTACAATTTGACAAACTGTACATATGAATATACACAATGTCTGTCAAATGGATGAAACAATCTAGCTTTATGCAATGTAAATTTTGCATCAGTAATTGTTTTGTACAAGCTGGTTTTAGGAGCCATTTTTCTGTCATGGAGCTGCCATTTCTGTAGTGGAAGCATGCAGAATGGTTTCATGTAGGGCACCAGCATTGAAACCCTGTCGGTGCACAAAGGGCAAAATAAATATCATAAAGATAATACTTGAGATCAGACTCAGAGAAAAAGCTTTTCCAAATGTACTGTAAGGACTGAGAAATAGCACGTTTGATATGCATGCATGGTCTCGGGCAGCACAGCCCATCTATTCATTTGGTTTCCAAATGCTCACATGTCAGGATGTATTCATAGCTCTGTTTAATACACTCCTCTCTCAACCCTCGCTGTAACTCTGGGCTCAGATGCACGGGTGGTTGCATCCATTCAGGATGGCCATTTCTTTTATACTGAATTCAGACAGTGTGAGGAAGATCAAATTGAAAATTGTGTGGCCATTAAACAACTCTAGTGCACCGTTAGCAAAGTATGGGATTCTGGTGATTATTTGTAATGGCTTCCTTTTAGGAAGGATGATTGATTGGAAAAAAATTAGTCATTTACTGCAGCTGTCTGGATTTAAGATGGCAGGTTAGAGATTGTAACCACTGCCACCAATCAAGTGAAATTCATTAATTCACATTCTTGAATCCCCTATCCGTATCTCTTACTCGGAGCATGATTTGTCAAGTCAAATTACCATTTTAAAGCAAATCTTAAGTTTGGCTGAGTTAAGCTCGGTCAACCTCATAAGAGCGCCTTTTGAGCTAAAAATGAATTGAAGGATCAGCCATTGAGGGCCAAACCATTCACAAAAAGGGCCCGAGGGCCCAGGCCTCGTGTATTTGACCCTCTTTTATAAAAATAGACGTTTACAGGAACCACCAGACAATCTTATGCACAAGCCACTGCCTCATTAGATGTCCACTTCTGAAGGCTAAGAATAGAAGGCAATGTGTCGCTTCACTGACACTCACTTCAAGTTCTTTGGAGAGTTCAATTTCTAGTTAAAAGTTTAATGAACAGCGATATGTAAAGTTGGTATTTAAATAAAAAGATTGCTCAGTTGTGAAGGGGTGTAATGAGCTTCTCAAAATCTATAGAAGTGAAATAACCATGAGGCAGGTCTCTTCTAATGCCAATTTTGTTTTCTCGCTGTCTCCCTCTCTCTGTTTGCCATTCACTGTGTCTCTCTCTTTCAGAAATGATCACTGACAGTCAGATTGAGAATGGTCTCTTGAAAGCTGACCTGAAAGATAAGGTCATGTACACCTTGCTGAGGAAGCATCGGCACCAGACCAAGAAGTCCAATCTTCGCTCCTTAGCTGACATTGGCAAGACGGTCTCCAGCGCAAGTAGGCTGTTTTCATCCCCGGATAATGGTAATATAGGTGCCAGTTTGGTGCAGTTATTTTTTACCTTCCTTTTTCCTTTTAAGCTATTGAGATATTTTTTTGTTTCTCTTTTTTTCTTCAGTTTTATGTAATTTTTTGTGGATTGTTTTTTTTCCCACTTTTCAAAAATATAATTTGTTAAAATACTTTTGCCTTTTGTGATTTTTTTGTTTTGAATTTTCTTGTGTTATTCTCAAAGATAACTGAAGAATACCAAATATTTGTATTTTACTCTTAAAATTTTATTCATCAGATTTACATCTTATCTTTACATTTTTACATATTTAAATGCATTAGTCCCACAGATCACAAGAATTGCTTTACTAATGTTTTACCAGTTTGCTGATTCATTGTTGACTCAGCATAGATTTAGCCTTTTTATGTTTTTCATTTTTTAATAAGTAGTTGTCTCTGTATGTTTTAAAGACTCCATGAAATCGCTCGACGAGCACATAGTGTGTTGACACTACCGTTGAAAAGTTTGGTATTTTTTGTTAAATAAATTAATACTGTTATTCACCATTTAATTTTAAATTAAAAGTGGCAGTAAACACATTTATAATGTTATTTCTATTTCAAATAAATGCTGTTCTTTTGAACTTTCTGTTCTTAAAAGAACCCTGAAAAATGTATCACGGTTTCTACAAAAATATTAAGCAGCGCAACTGTTTTCAACATTGATAATATATTGAGCACCAAATCAGCATGTTGGAATCATGTGAGACTGAAGATGAGGCTGTTTAACAATACTACTGTATTGTCACTGTATTTTCAATCAAATAAATGCAGCCTTGGTGAGAAGAAGACAACATGAATGACAAAACATGAAAAAATCTTACTGACCCCAATCTTTTGAACAGTAGTGTATTTTCTGTTACAACATGAGGTTTGTGTGTGACATATTAAAAGGATTGTATTTTTTAAATAACCAGTAAGCTTTAGTGACATCACAGCTATAACTATGATTTGCTACTTGCTAGTCAGTTATACAGTAGGTTGTATTAGTCAGAGCCATTGAGAAACCGAGTTGCGACACGCTTTGATCTTGCGCGGTCACGTAGTTCATGGAGCTCTCAATAGTTCCAAACAACTCCGCGCTGTCAATATGTTTGAATGGGTTTAAGTAGAATAGACAGCAGTTTCACTATATTTGCAGCAATTTCTAGTGATTATTAACACATCATGTGCATTGATTGTGTATTGATAACCACGCTGACTACGTATTACAATCGCATTTTATTCTGGGGAGTGATGAAGAGACAGCATTAATTTTTTTTCTAATATGCTTATTATTTATATTACAATTAGCGTAGTATTTCGGGTTAAAATAGAGAAAACGTTTTTAAATTCCAGTGCAAAGAGGCAAATTAGAGACATTTGGTGGACAGAAAAATAATATTCCTATGTAATGCCATGGTTTAACCACGCATTCAGGGAAACGCTTTCTTCTATTCCTTTAATGGGCAGTCTTCACTGAAACTCATTCAACTTCCTACAGGGAGAGAAAGATTGCAGAAAAACTTAAAAATATGACAACTAGCTATGACTAGCTAAGACTAGCTAGAAGAAAGTCATATACACCTAGGATGCTTCGGGGGTGAGTGAAACACAGCATAATTTTCATTTTGCAGTGAACTACCCCTTTAATATTTGCGCACATTCTGAGACGCGGGTTCACGCGCTTCGGATGAGCGACCACACAGATCCTTATCACTACACGCGCGAGTTCACGTCTTCTGCCTCTTTAATATTTAAACTGGCAAGGCTTAAATGAGTTTAGTTTAAACACAGATAGCAACGTGTGCTGTTCAGGTCTTACCTGTGCTATCAACACGTGATGACGGCATAAATGACAGTTATTCCAGCATAAAGCACTCGCATTGATTAAAGAGTGACTGGTTTGTCCACGTAATGTTTTTTCTCGCTCATCGCTCTTGTTGTAATGTATTGGGAAGCCAGAATTTGTATCCATCAACAGAAACATGCATTAGCCGAACTCTAACAAACCATATTACAGATGCATTGTCAGATTTAAGTTGAACCGCGGTCCTAGTGTATGCCGAACCGTGTGTGGAGAACGGTACGGTTCGATTTTTTACCGAGAACCGTTGCACCCCTAGTTCCTATGGAAGCCTATGGGAGTGTCGCAACTCTGTTTCTCAACGGCTCTGGTATTAGGGGAAGGAACATTCTCATTCTAGAGAGCGTTTGATTGGTCAAAAATCTGTGTAGTGCAGGATGAGTCATCAATATCTGCTAAAGGTTCATTTAGGCATTTTTTAGGAATACACAAGCATACAGGCAGAGCTACTAGATTTGGAAAGAGTTTGGGGTCTTTAAATAGTAACTTGTTCCTTGATAGTCCTTGATTTTGTTTAGTCTGTCCTGTCTCTGTCTGCATATGTTTTTCAGTGATGCACAGTATAGACTGTTGTATTACATTGTTGAGAATGTAAACCATTATGAACTGGTGAACTAATGAACTAATCTGAGAACAGTTGAGAACAAGACAAGACAACACTTCAAATAAAGCCTTGGTCAAAAGGATCATACGATTTTTGGCAGTAAAATTTGCATGCCTTCGGTTAAGACAAATAGTGCATAGATAAAACTTTACACAAAGATCATGACAGCATTTTTTCCAGCTGATTAGACTGGTGTTCGTGGGCTGCATGTGCACAGGTTTTATGCCATGAATCCTGTGATTCATTGACCATTGGACTTTTTGAATGTCACATAAATGTTATTCACTAAAACTTTAATGTTTCCTGAAAAAAAAAACCTTGCTGTAACTATGCTTTTCTACGTCTCTAACACATCCTATCTTTTCCTAAGCGATTTTACACCAGTCTCACACAATCTTTTACAAAACTAGCCGAACTTTTATACCTAAAACCACTGACCACTATCACCTTAACAGTCTTTCTTTTCACCCTTCTTACCATCTTTTGTCCTTTCTGCTGCACTTGTCACTAAAAGCACGTAATCCACTCGAGAGTTCAGTGCCTTGTCTAACGACTCGCACCTCAGAGGAGGTGTTGCGAGCCCCTGGAAGTCCAAGCATGGGATGGCCTAGTAAGTCCAACTTACCAGTTGCCAGTGCATGTATATGTGTCCTTTCACCCCACGTAGTGTGTAACATAGCTGTGATAGAATAGCATAACATTGAAGCTTAAAAGGGTCATATCACGAGGAATCAAATCTTCTAATACCATTTAAAGAGTTCATTGAACAATTAAATAACACCTCAGAGACAAATGAAATCATACAAAATGTACACTCTTAAAAATAAGGCTTCCAAAAGGAAGCTTTCGCTGTGACACATAGAAGATCCTATTTTAAGATCGTATGATATGACCTTTTCTAACTTTTTTGTTTGTTGTTGTGACCATCTATGTTTTGGTAGTCGGTCCTGTAGTCATTATGTAATATATTTTCATACCTAGAATTTCCCATTATGGTGACCTTTACCCTTAATAGATTTAAATTCCAGAGCCTTCTAATAATCACCATATCATCGGTCCCACTTTATATTGTGTCCCTAATACATGTGTACTTACATAGTAACTAAATGTGTACGTAGTATGTAACCACAGTGTAAGTACACACATTGGTACATATTATCTACAGCTGTAATATTTCTGTAACTACACACATGTAACAACCCTCAGGATGGTTTGTGTAAGTACAAATGTGTAACAGGACATTGGTAACAACACTTTTTTTCACTTCACTAAGTGCTCGTGTAACAGGAATTATATAACTACATTTTGTAACAACAATATGCATAAGAGTAATTGGAACCATTTGATCCAGGGGGTGGAGATGGGTAGGTTTAGGGATATGTAAAGTGGGAGGAGTTGGATCTCGAGTTGGAGTTGGTGCACCACTGTAATACCAGTGTACTTACATGGTAACTCCTCAGGAACTGTCCACTTAATATAAAGTGTAACATTCTGGACACCAACCACAATTTATATGTAAAGCCTAACTTACTGGCCGCTGCTGT